TACATATTTTTATTTCTATTACTGTACATCCCATGTTGCTTTTTCCTTGACATTTTGAAAATTTGAGGGAAAAGAAATGGAAAGCCTTGAGTGCCTCCAGAGTGTATATACTGATACTAGCAAGCCGACACTAGTATTAGGGAGCTTCTAGCTTTCATGCACTTGACTTGAGAGTAAAGGGGGGGAAAAAAGAAAGAAAAAGACAAGGCTATTCTCATTACCAAGCAGTTGCCAATCACCGTGGAAAAGAAAGCAAGACCCACTGTAGGGCATGAAATTAAATTTTTCAGGTAGTAGCCAGTAATTGATACCACAGTGTGACCTGTGCCTAAAGGAGCCAATTTAGAGCAGTGTGGAGCTGAAACAAACAGGCAGCCCATGAGTCAGTGGCCCACAGAATGGCTTTTGTGTGGACTTTTTTAAAAGAAGAAATAAAAACCCAATTCTATTTATACTATAGCTACCTTTGGGCAATTAGTATTGTCTGCCTATTGATTAACTATCTAGCTTCATATGCTTCTGACATGCCTTGATAAAACAGTGTTGTTCACTTGACCACATAAGATAGAAGGCTGGTTCCTCAGGGAGAGAAAAGCCTCATATTACAGGCTTATTCACGATGCAGCACGACAAAGGCTGAGGGCCAAGTTAGACATAATGCCAAATGTCTCATTAGAAACCACATCATTTTTTAAAAAAAAAAAGATGAATAGCAGTCATGGAGGGATTCATTACAATTTGCAAGGAGAAGAGGTTTACCCTTTACTCTCTAAACATGGACCTAATGAAAATCTATCTCTATCCAACTATGACTATTAGGGAAAAAAGTCCTTTGACATTAATAGGCTAATAATAATAATAATAATAATAATAATAATAATAATAAATATCCTACCTCAAGGCTCATAGTCATGTGGCTCAGTAGTATTATGGCTGGAGAGGAAGGATTAAACCTGGTCCTACTTTGAAGCTGCTTCTCACTCTGCCTACAGTTAACCTGTACTCAGTGGGATTTATGCCCAGGGAAATGCAGAAACTGACAATTTTACTTACTTTCTTTTAAAAAAAAACTTTCTTTTTTTCTTAAACTATAGCACAGGCTACCAAATGGCTGTATGATTTGGAGTGTTGCAGTAGGATCATTGAGAGCCAGCATGGTGTAGTGGTTTGAACATTAGACTAAGACTCTGGAGTCCAAGGTTCGTATCCCTGCTGGGCCATGGAAACCCACTGGGTGACCTTGGGCAAGTCATACTCTCTCAGCCTCAGAGGATTGCAATAGCAAACCCCCTCTGAAGAAACCTGCCAAGAAAACCCCATAATAGGTTTGCCTTAGGGTTGCCATATGTTGGAAATGACTTGAAGGCATGAAACAACAACAACAAGAACAGAATCATAGACTCACAGAAATGAAAAAGACCTAAAGAGCCATCCAGTCCACCCCAAGCCAGGAGTATCATTGGGTGAGAGCAGGGATGAAGAGTGATGACACACAGTGGTGCTCTTCTCCCTCTGCAGCGGAGGGGCAAGTGCACTCTTTGTGTTTTCATTGTTGGCCCAGCTCTCTCCCCAGGGAGAAAGGAAAGGCAGCATTAGGGGTGGCTGGAGAGTAAGGCAGTGGGAGGTCAAGGCAGGCCGCTGCTGTTCCCCCCAGCAGCCCCCCCTCACTGGGTGTCACCAAGCCCGGTGATGCCACTGCCTCCTGCCATGCAGGAATACACAATTAAAGCATAGAGGGAAACAGCCAGGATTCAGGAAGCCAGTATCTGTTGCCTGACACAGTAGCCTCACTCTGCCTTTCAGTAAATACAGCCCAAGGTTTAATCTTAATTCTGATTTCCATTGTCACATGTAATACTTGGGATAGACAAGAGGCAGATTTACATGGCTGCTGCTCTGCCATAAGAAGGATTACAGATCTGGCCAGAAAAGAAACTCAGCTGGGGAAGTCTAAGAATTAGTACTGTTCCTTTCCCATTCAGTGCACAGGGCTGTCTTTGCACAAAATGGTGGTCAAGGTGCTCACCTCTGGAATAATATAATCTTAGAGTTGGAAGAGACAACAAAGTACACCCAGCCCAATCCCCTGCCATGCAGGAATACACAATCAAAGTACCCTGTACGATGGCCATCCACTCTGTTTACAAACTTCCAAAGAAGGAGACTCCACCACTCTCTGAGGCAGCATGTTCCACTGTTGAACAACTCTTACTGTCTTAAACAGGGCAGTCATGTCAGGTCCTATTTTTTTTTTTTTTTTTACTACTGAATCATGTATCCTATACCTATGCATTTGTTTTTTTTGTGGCCTAAATATAGAATTTTACATTTGTCAATGTCAAAGTTTATTTCATTAATTTCTGTCCAATTTTTTTTTTTTAGTCAATCAAGGTCCTTTTAAATTCTGTCCCTATCTTCCAATGTGTTAGCCATCTCTCCCAGTTTTGTATCATCTATATACTTGATAAAGATTCCCTTCACCCTGTCATCTAAGTCACTGATAAAAAAAGACATATTATTTAAGAAACATGCCTGGCTGTCTTCCTATTTTTATTTTTTGAAAGCATCACAATGGAAGCTAAGGCAATTGGTTAAAAATACTACTTACATTAGGTTTAATATGGTACCAACCTTCTAATTCAGAAGGAGGAGGAAAAGCAAAAGAAACTCAATTACATTTAACTTTCAGACGTAAAATGTGCAATTTCAAGACATAAGAAAGGTTATACCCCTTCACCCAGTTTCAATTGTTACAAAGCTCGTAATTCAGATTTTAATTAAAACCCACATTGGAGGATTAAAAACAGATCAAGAAGCACTGCACATTTTTGAGGTCTAAAGAAGCAAATTGAAATAATAGCAGATCAGTGGTTTGAAGCTACATTAATGATTCCAATTGCATACTAATGAAGAAAAAAGAGGCTAGAATGTGCTTTCATTTTGCACAGATGCTTACAAAAAGCATTTACCAGTAAGTTTCTCCTTTGCTTCCCTGTACTCTCTTTCCTTTCCCAGAGAGCCATGACCCCTTTGCCAAGATACCATCATGTGTTGCTCTTCCACCTTTGTATGGAATTGGTTTCCTCTTTTAAAAAACAGAAATGCCTCTCTTAAGGCTTTGTTTCTAGCAGTAAGACCTTGAAGTAAAAATATGTTTATCCTTTTACCTGTGGCATCGCTCACTATAGGAATAGCGCCCCCAAGAATTTATCTGAAACTCAATTTCACCTTCCTGCTGAAAAAAGTGCCCCATCTTGGTCTCTTTGGCTTTTAAAGAATTTGGAAAGTTCCTTTTAAAGAGTGATTAGTTACAGTTATAGTACTAACCCACACCCCATGGTTGCTTGCTGTTAACAGTTATACATTTTAAAGTAACCATTTAGTTTCTTGTTACTCAAAAGTAAAAAATAGTTTATTTTAGTTATTTTTTTAAAAAAAATCATTTTTTTTATCCAACAGCATGAGATAGAATGTGAACCAGCATGTGGACCCCATGATATTACTCCTTCCCTTGGTAGTGATGCAGCATCCCTGTAATTATTATTAATAATTACAATGGTTAGAATAACACTAAAAAAGAATTAAAGTTATCCCTCATTAATACAATTTTAAAAATATTTTTATTAACAGTTTACATAATATAATAACAAACTATCCCCTACTCACCCTCCTGCACCACAGGCAATATTTGATTCAAAGTATAATCAGATAATAATTATCAAAGACAGACAACAGCAACAGACCATAATCAATATCCAAAAATGCTCATCATGATAGCTTCCAGAATATCATATGGTTCAATGGTGGGCCATGTCTTGAATTTGCATGTGTCATATCTCTTATAAACAGATGTCATATAGTCTCAAAAATGTTTTCAGCTATTTCGTTTCTGGCAAGGCAAAGTTTGAGTGTCAGTTTCTCTAACAATGCAAGATTGTCAACTCTCTCTAACTAGAGATGAGTGAGAAGACAATACAATACAATAGTGCAGAAAATGAATTAATCATAAATAACATTGTTTGTAGCTAGGGTTGCCAAGAGTCCCTTATCATAAAGGATGCCCCTTATATGACAACCAGAAATCTTGTCCCTGTAGGGCTGGCAGGTGTCACTTACTATAAGGGGCATTCTTTATTTGATCCAATCCACATGTTACACAGCAGGAAAAGAAACTTGGGCTGACCACAGCCTTTGCTGATTTGAATGCTGCTCAATTTCCTTTCTGTGCCAAAAGCTGTGCAGTTTTTAGAGAAAGCAACACCGTTCTCAGGAAAAAAAACTGCATAGTTCCTAGAAAAATGCATAGTTTTCTGGAAAAGATGCACAGCTTTGATAGAAAAGCTCTTCAGTTTCCTGTCACTGTGGGGGAAAATCCCCAAACATCCCAAAGTTATGGGAAGAAAAACTGTCTTCGGCATCAATTGGGAATTAGTAAAATTGATATTTACCATCCCTAGTTTTGGAGACCCTATAAAGGGATTACAGAAAGGTGATGAAAAAGAACGGATATCTGCTGCTTTGTCTTCTGCTCTCATGTTCCTCTAAGCTATTTGGAGATACTCGAAGAGCATACGGTTCCCAGGCAGTTTTCCCAGTCAGGCAGCTTTTAGGGCCAGATCTCTTTGCTTCAGCTGTGTGCCAGTTCAGACCAGTGCTTTTTCAGGAGTTCTCCACTCTTACTCACAATTGCCAGTGGAAACTCAAATTATGTGTGGGAGAAATTGGCTATCACTAACCAGAAACACTATCCTGAAATAAAGATGTGGTTTACAATAAGGAGGGTGCACATACTGGTGCATATATCATTCCTCCTAACAGAAAACTCAGGGGGTGAATGCCCATGCCTTGTGGAGCCCTGAGATTTCCAGAAATATAAAAAGGATTTGCCCACCTCACTCCACACTAAACACAGACACTATATCCTAAAACTATATATATATATATATATATATATATAT